TGCCATCTTGTTGCCTTTGTGTGTGTGTTTGCTTTGTTTCGTAGGCTTACTCGCCCATTTCGAGTGCCGCACGGGGCCCCAACGATTACCCCCGTGACATCGTGTCATGCCTCCGCATTTTAAAACATTGTTAGGAACACCAGAAATAAAGATAACATGTAAGAAAGAACTATAGATTATAGGAACCTTTTTATGTGTTGTGAAGCAGTCATGGTGACAGAGTAATCAAGTTTGGTGAGGCCAATATTAGATTGTCCTAGACTGCCACTTGAAGCAAGAAAGGTTCAAAGTATTGATGTGAAACACCCCGTATTGAGTATCATTGGCTTCCATACACCTGTTTACAGGTGTTTTTGAGGAAATACATTTTTAATTGATTATTTATTAAATTATATAAAAGCATGTATAAAAATGAACTTAAAAAGAAACTAAAAAAACCGCAGGGCCTAAAAAGTATAGATACACCCCTGCCGAAACTGTTGGGTGTATCCATACTTTGAACCTTGGAAGCGAGCATTCAGAAACTACAAAGGTCTCACCGAGGCTGGGACCTGTGATAGTCATTACTGAAGCCAAAGCATCTCCTAGGTATCAGTTAGGCAAGGCAATATCATAATACGGCTCTTAATCCCTCTATCTGTATTTCACTTCTGCACTTCACGTTGAACAAGGAAAGCCCAATTGTTGCTTAGGTGTCACAGGGCCACCTTAACTACACCACAAAGGATCTATATTTCAGAACAGAAAACGTGATTTTTAAATTGTAGAATAAAAAGCTACTAAGTTTCTAGTAACCAAAAGTTTTGCAGTGGAATAGTAAGCAAAAGTAGGTACCGGTTACCGGATCTGATAAAAAGCCTAAGGATTATAAATCATAACTAATATTGAATACAACAAAAAAAAAAGTCCAGATCAACTCACTATAGCTATTCTATATGTTTGACAACAAAGTTTTATCCATTGTGTTCATGCATGTCTAATTGTTCGAAACCAAGGTATAATTCCAATAAATTCTACAAGATAAGGTCAACACAGAAACCGCGGCAGGAGAAGTAAAAGGGTTAGGGAGAAGAACTGAAATATGATCCATAGAAATGCTGATCAATATGAACAGAGGAAGTTAACTAAGATGCACATAGTTTGAAGACATGTTATCAAATGCTAGAGTAGGAGAAAAAAAGTCGAAAATTAAATTGGCCAAAAAGAACTATCCAATAAATAAAGGAGAGATGACAATCAAGGCCAAAAGTACAGTTCCACAACCAGTTGGCTATTAATAACGTATTAGCTTACCCAATTCCACAAATCAGATTAGTTAACAGTAAAAAGGGAGAACTCAGAGCGATTTTCTGTGATTCACAAACAGAAATCAGGAAGGAATATACAATCAAGAAGTTCAACAGGAGAAAATGTAATGAATAAAAGAAAATCCATCAAAGAAGACAACTGACGAGAAAAAAGAAATTAGGAGTTGGATCAATTGACGAGAAAAGAAATAACGGGGATCGTGGAAAACCTACGCGGATCCTCGGTTGTAGATGTCGATCGAGACCGAGACGCGTTCGGCGCCGGACTTGAGCCTGGTAAGGACAGCCTTCTTATTAGCAACAATGAAGGGAGAATCAGAGCTTGCAAGTGCCGCCGAAACGAGGAAGAGAGCTACCAGGAGAACAGAAATGCAGGTAACCATTTTCAGACTCGTCATGGCGGCTTAGTTGAATCTGAAGAAATGGGAATTTTATTGGATCGCGAAACTCGGGACACGACGACGATGCAGACAGGAGATGGGGGAGGAGAAACTTGGAAGAGAAGAACTAGGGCTTAAGTGTAATGTTTGATTACGGGCTACTACTAATCAACCTGAGTTATGGACTTCTGGCTAATTAATCATTTTTGCCAAAAACATTTGCTAATTTACTATATACTAAAAATTAGTAATTAGAATATACAACATGGCAAATACACTAACTCGTGGCAGCCTGAAACCAGGTTCAAAGTATCGAGATCGGCCTCTATCGGTTTTTTTTGGGTAAAATACAAAAACCTTTCCTAAAATTTCTGACAATCATAAAAATCTCTTTTATAATTTTATTTTAATGAAAACTTCCTTTGAATTTTTAAAAAGTTTGACAAAAACCTCCCTTCTGCCAATGACTCAGAAAACGTGATATCAATACATAATTTTATTCTAAATACTTATTTTACCCTTTTATAAATTAATTTGCATACATTTATACCAAAATATCATGTCGACCTGTTATTCTCTTTTCCTCTCCGACAACCTCTTTCCTATCCCGGAATTCCACCGTCTGAAGAGGAGAAAGGCGGCAGCTCTTTCAATCTTTCAATCCAAATCCAAACGGAACACAACTCTTTCAATTTTCTCCCTACCAGTAAGAGGCTCTCTGGCTATTGAGAAGGGATGTCGATGGACTGCACAAGGACTTCAGTCACCGACGAGCTGCGGAAGAAGCTAAAGAATCTGATGATGAACTTCCAGAAGCTGAGGCAGCAAATGATGGCAAAGTATAAGGAGATGGTGAGTCGTCAATATTTTACGATAACAAGAGAGTAACCGAAGGAAGAGGTGATAGAGAATATTATATCGAGTGGGGGAGGAACGGGAGGGGCGGAGTTGCTACAAAGGGCAATGTAGGAGCACAGGAGGGAAAAGGTTATTGAGACGGTGTTGAAAATACAAAACATGCACGACGCGGTGAAGGAGGTTGAGAAGAGCCTTCTTAAGTTGCACCAGGTGTTCCTGGACATGGTGGTGATGGTGGAACCTCAGGGAGAGCAATTGGACGACATCCAACACTATGTCAAGATTCATGAATGCTACTGAGTATGTGAAGGACAGGATATGCGACCTTAGGACTGCTAATTAAGAACCACCAGAAGAGCAACAGGAAGTGGATGTGTGTGGGGTTGGATGCAAATGAGGACTAAGGAAAAGCGTTAAGAGAAGAAGAGATCTCCAATCCTGGGTTCCACATACGTACTCCATTGGTCCTAGGTTCCACAAGAAACTCGTCGTTGGATACTCTTTCAACGTTGAAGAAGATGAAGAGCTTTTTGCAGCCAAAACTTGAAGGATTGGCTAAGCAATAGATTGATTTAACCATTTAGAACCCAATTTCTAAGTCATTTTCTTTACTACACAAGGATTAGGAAGATGATTTTCTGCTGCACGTTTTTGAAATCCACCTTCCGATTCTTCTTCCTTCTATTTCTCTTTCCATCGTTTCCACCTCCCAGTTCCTTCTTTGCTTAAATCTTTTTTAGGTAGGTATATTTCCAATTTTTTACTGTTTTTCTTCTAACTCGGACCTTTTTCGTGAGAGGTTTGAGCAATTAGATTGGGAGGAGCCACACACTCTCCATTTTCGTAGAGCATGGCTCCATTTTCGTAAAGCAAGAGCCGCCTTCCTTTTTCGTGAGAGAAGAGACTACACTGTGTGAACTTAGCTTATCTATATATATATATATATATATATATATATATATATTTAACTCCAATCGCCCAATGGGCAATGGCCATCCTTGTAGTGATCTTTTCCCGCCCTTTTCTTCTATTGCGACCTGTGAGTGACGACGGTCTTGCTTTTCACTCTGTTCAATCGTTGGAGTGGAGACAGAGCAAGGTAGACGTGAGGCCGACTGGCTAGTAGCCATCCTACGAAGAGCTTGCAGTTTGGCGACGAGGCCCCCACAGACCAACCCATGGAGAGGCTGCAATCTTTTGATTTCTTTTTGCTCTGACAAAAAAATAACAAATGTGAATAAGATGATAGATTGAGGGCAAATAAGGTATTTTACAAATTCATCAAATGACGTTTCAAGAGTAATTTTGTAAATATAGACGTTTTCCGTCTGGGTCTGGATCATTGACGGAAGGGAGGTCTTATCGAGTTTTTTAAAAATTTAAGGGAGATTTTTGCTAAAGTGAAACTACAGAGGAGATTTTTATGATTGTCAGAAAATTCAGGGGAATTTTTTATATTTTACATTTTTTTGTGTTTTATTTTTTTTTATATTTCTTCGAATTTGGTTCAGCGGGTCGATTAAGGCCCGATTACCTCTGAACCATGGTCTGATTCGAAATACTTCCTATAGGCATGTATCGAAGAGGCCACAATATATTTTGAACCTTGGCCTGAAAGGCTGAAATCGGATTTAGATCTCAAAAGGTCGTGCTAACACTCAATTTTTAAAAATCGGATCGGACACCGAACCATTTTGCCAGCCGTTCCTGAGTCAAATGGTCAAATCATCTGATTTGAATAAATGGCCTGTTCTGATTTAAAAATTAAAAAATATAATTAATATAAAAAATAGTTAAAAATCAGTATCCAGATTGATAGGTCATTGACTAAATCAACGATTTTTGGTCCAAGAATACTTTTAAGATGAAATGGAACCAATTGCATGATAATTTCCACATCAGTCCAATCATCTGATCTGATCAGATTTTTAAAATCATGCTCTTTGCATAATCTCTTATAGCTTTGCGTTGAGAATATCTTATACAAATATCCAGACATATCCCACCATTATTTATTTATTTATTTGAATTCCTCACAAAATTAGCCTTACATCACCTTTCAAAGAAGTATAAATACAAATATATATGATATAAATATATACAAAATAATATAAAATACAAGATTTTACACCACAAATTTGTATTTATACTCCTTCCAAACTGAGCCATATAAGACAAATTTATACTACTTATCAGCAATATCCCGAATACAAACAATGCATCTCATGTTTTGAGGACAGATGGCATAAACTATGATATTAGCAAATAGCAACATTGTTTTTGTTTGTTTTGGATGTTCAGGTCCGGTCCAGTTTGATTTGAAGACCAATTCATTAAATTATAAATTTATAATACGAGAAATTCTCACATCAGTCCAAATCATTTTAATATAGAAACCAATTCAGATCGTTTTAGTATGGTTTGATATAGTTTACGCGGTTTTGTTGGGCTTAACCAACTTAGAAAGTTGAAATAATATCAAAAGATCAATCAAAAAAGTGTTTATAATTTTGTATGGTTTTAGTTAATACCAATAGGTATTCATGCGATGTACGAATTTTGTTAAAATAATTTTAGGTAATAAAGTTAGAGGTGTAATTTAGATGTATCTAAATCAAGCCCGGCTTGATTTAATCAACGCTTTTGTCAAAAAAAACTCGGGCCTATTAAGTTTGCCCTATATAGAGAGAGTACTTTAAAAAGCACAATTTTTTAAGACAAAATTTATTTTTGTATATTTAAATTTATTGATAAAAAATGAGGATAAATAGGGTAATCGGTTATTAATATAAATGAGTTAAAAAGAGGTAATTTTAAGATATTCAATGCATTCAATCCTCTCATTAAATTCAACATTTAAGTTATTAACTTGCATTCATGTTCATTCAATCATATATTCAAGTCCTTTTTGTTTCTTCTCGTCATTAAGTTCAATTAATTAAATCTATATTTAATAAATTAATAATTTCAATAACATAAAATGTTATGCTTTTAAAATCTACCTAGAAAAAAACAGGGTTTTCATCTAGATAGTGGTAAAAGTTAAACCATTTGGATCAAATGGGTCAATCCATGATTCCATGTTGCCATGATTAAATAATAAAATGAAAAAAAATGGAACATTTTTAACATACATATTAAACACTAATAAGTATGATAAATAAAAAATGTTTTTATTAATGGTGGAAATGGAACATAAAATTTTAAACCAACTGGAAATGAAAATGTTTTCCTATTCTCTCTCATTAAATCCTATATTTAAGATATATTTTTCTCATCATTAAATTATTGTAATTAAATCCACAATATTAATTTTAATAGTATAAAATAAATATTTTGAAAAGTAATTTGGAAACAAAACTATTTTCTTCCCTCTTGATAGTGGGCAAGGAATTCAACCATTTGGGGTCAAATGGATTAATAAATATACCATAATTAAATAATTAAAAATTAAAATAAATAAGTATGAAATGTAAGAAGTATTTTTTATTAATGATGAAAATGGAAGGCCAAATTTAAAATCTACCTAGAAATGAAATGATGTCATAGTCAAATAATAAAATTTTAAAAAATAGAAAATACAAAGAATCACAAAAATAAAAAAATAAAATATAGAGAAAATTTTGGGCATATATTTAATGTTATACATTTATAAGAAATTAAAATATTGGGTACATCTTTAATATTATGCATTTCTTATATTGAAAAAAAAAATAAATATTATACATGAGAAATAATTTTATTAATGATGGAAAATGTAATACAAAATTTAATGTCAACTTAGAAATCAAATTATTTTTCTTTTTGGGTGGTGGGTTAGTGGTTTGGGTCAAATTATATCATAGACAAACAAAAATTAAGTGTGATAAGTAAAAGTTATTTATATAATGTAAATAAAATATATAGTTTAAAGGAAAAATTATATTCAAAGTCGATTGTACATTTAAAATTAGGTTGTTGGCCCAAAAACCAACAAAACTTTGACAACCCGGCTCTACATTTCAAATTATAAAAACTCTTACCATGTCATTGGAGGCTTATGCGGTTGTTGTCAACATGGACTTTTAATCCATGTTAGGCACAACAAAAAGCTTATACCAAAAATAGGTTTCCAATTTCTCTCTCGCTTCCTGTGTTTCTCGATCTCCCTCCTTTATCTCTCATTCTCATAGCCATCTCTCGACCTCTTGCTCCCTCTATCTATCCCACTCTCCAAGCTTCGGTCTATAGCCAAATCAAAACCCTCTCTCTCTCTCTCTCTCTCTCCCTCAATCTCCCTATCGATCAATATCTCCCATTCTCATTC